AGACTTGTGCGACTCACATTGACCAGATATTACGCAAGAGGTGGTTGAATTATGGCCAGTTTTCACATTACACCTTAATCGATCAAACAACTGGGCTCAATTGGCCGGCCATCAGCGGTCTAAAGCGCTGCATTCAGGTAGCAGTCTCCCCTGGAGGCGTGGGTTCGAATCCCACTTCTGACAGTGTTTGAGAAAACCTAATAAACTGCCTCAATTCGGGCCAATTTTTTTACATTGTGATTCGGAAGGGATCTAAAGTGTCTTCCTGTGTCAATCTCACATTGCCCAGATATTCCGCAAGAGGTGGCCGAATTACGGCCAGTTTTCACATTACAATTGCGACTTGGCTGTGGTAAAGAGTGTGTCTTCCTGTGTCAATCTCACATTGACCAGTTTTTTCTACAAGAGGTGGCCAAATTACGGCCAATTTTCACATTACAACTGCGACTTGGCTGCGTTCAGATCACAGTTGGTTCGAATCCCACTTCTGACAGATGTTTTGAGTAAACCTAATGATGTGCCTCAATTCGGGCCTCTATTTTTACATTGTGATTTCGACTCCCGGCCACAATGTGACGGAAGCTGCATTCGCCGGGAATCGGAACCGGCCACCCTCACTACAGAAGAGAACTCTACCACTAAGTGTGCTAAAGCAGATGCTGCATTGGCCGGGAATCGAACCCGGGCCTCCCGCGTGGCAGGCGAGAATTCTACCACTGAACCACCAATGCCTGTTTCTACAGGTGTTTTGGATCCCGTCATGTCTCAACCTCATATTTAAAATTGTAGGACTGAAAGTATTTGCTCATGACGAGGAATGCTCAATTTGTTTGTGTTCCTCGTTAGTATAGTGGTCAGTATCCCCGCCTGTCACGCGGGAGACCGGGGTTCAATTCCCGACGGGGAGAAGAGGGATTTTGCTGACACTCCCAACACAATCAATGGCACATTACACTTGGACAACACGGCATCTGTGCAGAAGAAGCCACTGATGTTTTAATTCAAGCCAACGATCAACTCTGGTGAACTTGTAAATTCCATGTCAGGATGGCCGAGCGGTCTAAGGCGCTGCGTTCAGGTCGCAGTCTCCCCTGGAGGCGTGGGTTCGAATCCCACTTCTGACAGTTTTTGAGTAAACCTAATGAAGCGCCTCAATTCGGGCCACTATTTTTACATTGTGATTCGAAGGGGATATAGAGAGTGAGTTGTCCTGTGTCAATCTCACGTTTAGACTTGTGCGACACACATTGACCAGATATTCCGCAAGAGGTGGCCAAATTACGGCAATTTTCACATTAAAATTGCGACTTGGCTGCGTTCCGATCGCAGTCTCCCTTGGAGGACTTGGTTCGAATCCCACTTGTGACAGAGGTTTTGAGTAAACCTAATGAAGTGCCTCAATTCGGGCCACTATTTTTACATTGTGATTCCAATTCCCGGCCACATTGTGACGGAAGCTGCATTGGCCGGCCTCCCTCGGTACAGAAGAGAATTCTACCACTAAGTGTGCTAAAGTGTATGCTGCATTGGCCGGGAATCGAACCCGGGCCTCCCGCGTGGCAGGCGAGAATTCTACCACTGAACCACCAATGCCTGTTTCTACAGGTGTTTTGGATCCCGTCATGTCTCAACCTCATATTTAAAATTGTAGGACTGAAAGTATTTGCTCATGACGAGGAATGCTCAATTAGTGTTGTTCCTCGTTAGTATAGTGGTCAGTATCCCCGCTGTCACGCGGGAGACCGGGGTTCAATTCCCCGACGGGGAGAAGAGGGAGTTTGCTGACACTCCCCAACACAATCAATGGCACATTATACTTGGACAACACGGCATCTGTGCAGAAGAAGCCACTGATGTTTTAATTCAAGCCATTGATCAACTCTGGTGAACGTGTAAATTTCATGTCAGGATGTCCAGCCGTCTAAGGCGCTGCGTTCAGGTCGCAGTCTCCCCTGGAGGCGTGGGTTCGAATCCCACTTCTGACAGTTTTTGAGTAACCTAATGAAGCGCCTCAATTCGGGCCACTATTTTTACATTGTGATTCGAAGGGGATATAGAGAGTGAGTTGTCCTGTGTCAATCTCACGTTTAGACTTGTGCGACTCACATTGACCAGATATTCCGCAAGAGGTGGCCAAATTACGGCCAATTTTCACATTAAAATTGCGACTTGGCTGCGTTCCGATCGCAGTCTCCCTTGGAGGACTTGGTTCGAATCCCACTTGTGACAGAGGTTTTGAGTAAACCTAATGAAGTGCCTCAATTCGGGCCACTATTTTTACATTGTGATTCCAATTCCCGGCCACATTGTGACGGAAGCTGCATTGGCCGGCCTCCCTCGGTACAGAAGAGAATTCTACCACTAAGTGTGCTAAAGTGTATGCTGCATTGGCCGGGAATCGAACCCGGGCCTCCCGCGTGGCAGGCGAGAATTCTACCACTGAACCACCAATGCCTGTTTCTACAGGTGTTTTGGATCCCGTCATGTCTCAACCTCATATTTAAAATTGTAGGACTGAAAGTATTTGCTCATGACGAGGAATGCTCAATTAGTTTGTGTTCCTCGTTAGTATAGTGGTCAGTATCCCCGCCTGTCACGCGGGAGACCGGGGTTCAATTCCCCGACGGGGAGAAGAGGGAGTTTGCTGACACTCCCCAACACAATCAATGGCACATTATACTTGGACAACGCGGCGTCTGTGCAGAAGAAGCCACTGATGTTTTTATTGGTTTTAATTCAAGCCAACGGTCAACTCTGGTAAAGGTGCAAATTCCATGTCAGGATGGCCGAGCGGTCTAAGGCGCTGCGTTTAGGTCGCAGTCTCCCCTGGAGGCGTGGGTTCGAATCCCACTTCTGACAGTGTTTAAGCAAACCTAATGAAGTGCCTCAATTCGGGCCAATTTTATTACATTGTGATTCGAAAGGGATCTAAAGAGTGTCTTCCTGTGTCAATCTCACATTGACCAGATATTCCGCAAGAGGTGGCCGAATTACGGCCAGTTTTCACATTACAATTGCGACTTGGCTGTGGTAAAGAGTGTGTCTTCCTGTGTCAATCTCACATTGACCAGATATTCCGCAAGAGGTGGCCAAATTACGGCCAATTTTCACATTAAAACTGCGACTTGGCTGCGTTCCGATCGCAGTCTCCCTTGGAGGACTTGGTTCGAATCCCACTTGTGACAGAGGTTTTGAGTAAACCTAATGAAGTGCCTCAATTCGGGCCAATTTTTTTACATTGTGATTCGGAAGGGATCTAAATAGCGTCTTCCTGTGTCAATCTCACATTGACCAGATATTCCGCAAGAGGTGGCCGAATTATGGCCAGTTTTCACATTACAACTGCGACTTGGCTGCGTTAAAGAGTGTGTCTTCCTGTGGCAATCTCACATTGACCAGATATTCCGCAAGAGGTGGCCAAATTACACATTACAACTGCGACTTGGCTGCGTTCAGATTGCAGTCTCCATTGGTGGACTTGGTTCGAATCCCACTTCTGACAGAGGTTTTGAGTAAACCTAATGAAGTGCCTCAATTCGGGCCACTATTTTTACATTGTGATTCCAATTCCCGGCCACATTGTGACGGAAGCTGCATTGGCCGGCCTCCCTCGGTACTGGAATGTTCAATGCACTTGTGTTCCTCGTTAGTATAGTGGTCAGTATCCCCGCCTATCACGCGGAGACCGGGGTTCAATTCCCCGACAGGGAGTAGAGGGTTTTTACTGACACTCCCCAACACAATCAATGGCACATTATACTTGGACAACACGGCATCTGTGCAGAAGAATCCACTGATGTTTTAATTCAAGCCAACGATCAACTCTGGTGAACGTGTAAATTCCATGTCAGGATGGCCGAGCGGTCTAAGGCGCTGCGTTCAGGTCGCAGTCTCCCCTGGAGGCGTGGGTTCTAATCCCACTTCTGACAGTTTTTGAGTAAACCTAATGAAGCGCCTCAATACGGGCCACTATTTTTACATTGTGATTCGAAGGGGATATAGAGAGTGAGTTGTCCTGTGTCAATCTCACGTTTAGACTTGTGCGACTCACATTGACCAGATATTACGCAAGAGGTGGTCGAATTATGGCCAGTTTTCACATTACACCTCTTAATCGATCAAACAACTGGGCTCAATTGGCCGGCCATCAGCGGTCTAAAGCGCTGCATTCAGGTAGCAGTCTCCCCTGGAGGCGTGGGTTCGAATCCCACTTCTGACAGTGTTTGAGCAAACCTAATAAACTGCCTCAATTCGGGCAATTTTTTTACATTGTGATTCGGAAGGGATCTAAAGAGTGTCTTCCTGTGTCAATCTCACATTGCCCAGATATTCCGCAAGAGGTGGCCGAATTACGGCCAGTTTTCACATTACAATTGCGACTTGGCTGTGGTAAAGAGTGTGTCTTCCTGTGTCAATCTCACATTGACCAGATATTCCGCAAGAGGTGGCCAAATTACGGCCAATTTTCACATTACAACTGCGACTTGGCTGCGTTCCGATCGCAGTCTCCCTTGGAGGACTTGGTTCGAATCCCACTTGTGACAGAGGTTTTGAGTAAACCTAATGAAGTGCCTCAATTCGGGCCAATTTTTTTACATTGTGATTCGGAAGGGATCTAAATAGCGTCTTCCTGTGTCAATCTCACATTGACCAGATATTCCGCAAGAGGTGGCCGAATTATGGCCAGTTTTCACATTACAACTGCGACTTGGCTGCGTTAAAGAGTGTGTCTTCCTGTGGCAATCTCACATTGACCAGATATTCCGCAAGAGGTGGCCAAATTACACATTACAACTGCGACTTGGCTGCGTTCAGATTGCAGTCTCCATTGGAGGACTTGGTTCGAATCCCACTTCTGACAGAGGTTTGAGTAAACCTAATGAAGTGCCTCAATTCGGGCCACTATTTTTACATTGTGATTCCAATTTCCCGGCCACATTGTGACGGAAGCTGCATTGGGCCGCCCTCCCTCGGTACTGGAATGTTCAATGCACTTGTGTTCCTCGTTAGTATAGTGGTCAGTATCCCCGCCTGTCACGCGGGGGAGGGCAACAACCGGGGTTCAATTCCCCGACGGAGGAGAGGGTTTTTACTGACACTCCCCAACACAATCAATGGGCACATTATACTTGGGACAACACGGCATCTGTGCAGAAGAATCCACTGATGTTTTTAATTCAAGCCAACGATCAACTCTGTGTGAACGTTGTCAATTCCATGTCAGGATGGCCGAGCGGTCTAAGGCGCTGCGTTCAGGTCGCAGTCTCCCCTGGAGGCGTGGGTTCTAATCCCACTTCTGACAGTTTTTGGAGTAAACCTAATGAAGCGCCTCAATACGGGCCACTATTTTTTACATTGTGATTTCGAAGGGGATATAGAGAGTGAGTTGTCCTGGTGTCAATCTCACGTTTTAGGACCTTGTGCGACTCACATTGACCAGATTTACGCAAGAGGTGGTTGAATTATGGCCAGTTTTCACATTACACCTCTTAATCGATCAAACAACTGGGGCTCAATTGGCCGGCCATCAGCGGTCTAAAGCGCTGCATTCAGGTAGCAGTCTCCCCTGGAGGCGTGGGTTCGAATCCCACTTCTGACAGTGTTTGAGAAAACCTAATAAACTGCCTCAATTCGGGCCAATTTTTTTACATTGTGATTCGGAAGGGATCTAAAGAGTGTCTTCCTGTGTCAATCTCACATTGCCAGATATTCCGCAAGAGGTGGCCGAATTACGGCCAGTTTTCACATTACAATTGCGACTTGGCTGTGGTAAAGAGTGTGTCTTCCTGTGTCAATCTCACATTGACCAGTTTTTTCTACAAGAGGTGGCCAAATTACGGCCAATTTTCACATTACAACTGCGACTTGGCTGCGTTCAGATCACAGTTGGTTCGAATCCCACTTCTGACAGAGTTTTGAGTAAACCTAATGATGTGCCTCAATTCGGGCCTCTATTTTTACATTGTGATTTCGACTCCGGCCACAATGTGACGGAAGCTGCATTCGCCGGGGAATCGGAACCGGCCACCCTCACATACAAGAGAGAGACTCTACCACTATGTGTGCTAAAGCAGATGCTGCACTGGCCGGAATCGGAACCCGGGCCTCCCGCGGGGCCAGGCGAGAATTCTAACCACTGAACCACCATTGGCCCTGTTTCTTACAGGTGTTTTGGATTCCCGTCATGTCTCAAACCTCATATTTAAAATTGTTAGGACTGAAAGTATTTGCCTCATGACGAGGAATGCTCATTTGTTTGTGTTCCTCGTTAGTATAGTGGGTCAGTATCCCCGCCTGTCACGCGGCGAGGACCGGGTTCAATTCCCCGGACGGGGAGAAGAGGGATTTTGCCTGACACTCCCCAACACAATCAAATGGCACATTTACAGCGTGGACAACACGGCATCTGTGCAGAAGAAGCCACTGATGTTTTAATTCAAGCCAACGATCAACTCTGGTGAACTTGTAAATTTCCATGTCAGGATGGGGCCGAGCGGTCTAAGGGCGCTGCGTTCAGGTCGCAGTCTCCCCTGGAGGCGTGGGTTCCGAATCCCACATTCTGACAGTTTTTGAGTAAAACCTAATGAAGCGCCTCAATTCGGGCCACTATTTTTACATTGTGATTCGAAGGGGATATAGAGAGTGAGTTGTCCTGTGTCAATCTCACGTTTAGACTTGGTGCGACTCACAGTGACCAGATATTCCGCAAGAGGTGGCCAATTTACGGCCAATTTTTCACATTAAAATTGCGACTTTGGCTGCGTTCCGATCGCAGTCCTCCCTTGGAGGACTTGGTTCGAATCCCACTTGTGACAGAGGTTTTGAGTAAACCTAATGAAGTGCCTCAATTCGGGCCACTATTTTTACATTGTGATTCCAATTCCCGGCCACATTGTGACGGAAGCTGCATTGGCCCGGCCTCCCTCGGTACAGAAGAGAATTCTACCACTAAGTGTGCTAAGTGTATGCTGCATTGGCCGGGAATCGAACCCGGGCCTCCCGCGTGGCAGGCGAGAATTCTACCACTGAACCACCTATGCCTGTTTTCTTACAGGTGTTTTGGATCCCGTCATGTCTCAACCTCTTATTTAAAATTGTAGGACTGAAAGTATTGCTCATGACGAGGAGAATGCTCAATTAGTTTGTGTTCCTCGTTAGTAATGAGTGGTCAGTATCCCCGCCCTGTCACGCGGGAGGACCGGGGTTCAATTCCCCGCACGGGGAGAAGAGGGAGTTTGCTGGACACTCCCCAACACAATCAATGGCACTTTATACTCTGGACAACGCGGCGGCGTCTGGCAGAAGAAGCCACTGATGTTTTTTATTGGTTTTAAATTCCAAGCCAACGGTCAACACTGGTAAAGGTGCAAATTCCATGTCAGGATGGCCGAGCGGGTCTAAGGCCGCTGCGTTTAGGTCGCAGTCTCCCCTGGAGGCGTGGGTTCGAATCCCACTTCTGACAGTGTTTAAGCAAACCTAATGAAGTGCCTCAATTCCGGCCAATTTTATTACATTGTGATTCGAAAGGGATCTAAAGAGTGTCTTCCTGTGCCAATCTCACATTTGACCAAATATTCCGCAATAGGTGGCCGGAATTACGGCCAGTTTTCACATTACAATTGCGACTTGGCTGTGGTTAAAGAGTGTGTCTTCCTGTGTCAATCTCACATTGACCAGATATTCCGCAAGAGGTGGCCAAATTATCGGCCAATTTTCCACATTAAAACTGCGAATTGGCTGCGTTCGATCGCAGTCTCCCTTGGAGGACTTGGTTCGAATCCCACTTGTGACAGAGGTTTTGAGGGTAAACCTAATGAAGTGCCTCAATTCGGGCCCAATTTTTTTTACATTGTGATTCGGAAGGGATCTAAATAGCGGTCTTCCTGTTGTCAATCTCACATTGACCAGATATTCCGCAAGAGGTGGCCGAATTATGGCCAGTTTTCACATTACAACTGCGACTTGGCTGCGTTAAAGAGTGTGTCTTCCTGTGGCAGATCTCACATTGACCAGATATTCCGCAAGAGGTGGCCAAATTACACATTACAACTGCGACTTGGCTGCGTTCAGATTGCAGTCTCCATTGGAGGACTTGGGTTCGAATCCCACTTCTACAGAGGTTTTGAGTAAACCTAATGAAGTGCCTCAATTCGGGCCACCTATTTTTACATTGTGATTCCAATTCCCGGGCCACATTGTGTCGGAAGCTGGCATTGGCCGGCCTCCCCTCGGTACTGGAATGTTCAATGCACTTGTGTTCCTCGTTAGTATAGTGGTCAGTATCCCCGCCTATCACGCGGGAGACCGGGGTTCAATTCCCCGACAGGGAGTAGAGGGTTTTTACTGACACTCCCCCAACACAATCAATGGCACATTATACTTGGACAACACGGCATCTGTGCAGAAGAATCCACTGATGTTTTAATTCAAGCCAACGATCAACTCTGGGTGAAACGTGTAAATTCCATGTCAGGATGGCCGAGCGGTCTAAAGGCGCCTGCGTTCAGGTCGCAGTCTCCCCTGAGGCGTGGGTTCTAATCCCACTTTCTGACAGGTTTTTGAGTAAACCTTAATGAAGCGCCTCAATACGGGGCCCACTATTTTTACATTGTGATTCGAAGGGGATATAGAGGAGTGAGTTGTCTGTGGTCAATCTCACGTTTAACTTGTGCGACTCACATTGACCAATATTACGCAAGAGGTGGTCGAATTATGGCCAGTTTTCACATTACACCTCTTAATCGATCAAAACTACTGGCTCTATTGGCCGGCCATCAGCGGTCTAGAAGCGCTGCATTCAGGTAGCAGTCTTCCCCCTGGAGGCGTGGGTTCGGAATCACTTCTGACAGTGTTGAGCAAAACCTAATAAACTGCCTCAATTCGGGCAATTTTTTTACATTGTGATTCGGAAGGGATCTAAAGAGTGTCTTCCTGTGTCAATCTCACATTGCCCAGATATTCCGCAAGAGGTGGCCGAATTACGGCCAGTTTTCACATTACCATTGCGACTTGCTGTGGGTAAAGAGTGTGTCTTCCTGTGTCAATCTCACATTGACCAGATATTCCGCAAGAGGTGGCCAAATTACGGCCAATTTTCACATTACAACTGCGACTTGCTGCGTTTCCGATCGCAGTCTCCCTTGAGGACTTGGTTCGAATCCCACTTGTGACAGAGGGTTTTGAGTAAACCTAATGAAGTGCCTCAATTCGGGCCAATTTTTTTACATTGTGATTCGGAAGGGATCTAAATAGCGTCTTCCCGTGTGTCAATCTCACATTGACCAGATATACCGCAAGAGGTGGGCCGGAATTATGGCCAGTTTTCACATTACAACTGCGACTTGGCTGCGTTAAAGGAGTGTGTCTTCCTGTGGCAATCTCACATTGACCAGATATTTCCGCAAGAGGTGGCCAAAATTACACATTACAACTGCGACTTGGGCTGCGTTCAGATTGCAGTCTCCATTGGAGGACTTGGTTTCGAATCCCACTTCTGACAGAGGTTTTGAGTAAACCTAATGAAGTGCCCTCAATTCGGGGCCACTATTTTTACATTGTGATTCCAATTCCCGGCCACATTGGTGACGGGAAGCTGCTTTGGCCGGCCTCCCTCGGGTACTGGAATGTTCAATGCACTTGTGTTCCTCGTTAGTATAGGTGGCCAGGTATCCCCGCCTGTCACGCGGGACACCGGGGTTCAATTCCCCGACGGGGAGGAGAAGGGGTTTTTACTGACACTCCCCAACACAATCAAGGGGCACATTATACTTGGACAAACACGGCATCTGTGCAGTAGAATCCACTGAGTTTTAATTCAAGCCAACGATCAACTCTGGTGAACGTGTCAATTCCATGTCAGGATGGCCGAGCGGTCTAAGGCGCTGCGTTCAGGTCGCAGTCTCCCCTGAGGCGTGGGTTCTAATCCCACTTCTGACAGTTTTTGATGTAAACCTAATGAAGCGCCTCAATACGGGCCACTATTTTTACATGTGTGATTCGAAGGGGATATAGAGAGTGAGTTGTCCTTGTCAATCTCACGTTAGACTTGTGCGACTCACATTGACCAGATATTACGCAAGAGGTGGTTGAATTATGGCCAGTTTTCACATTACACCCTCTTAATCGATCAAACAACTGGGCTCAATTGGCCGGCCATACAGCGGTCTAAAGCGCTGCATTCAGTAGCAGTCCTCCCCGGAGGCGTGGTTCGAATCCCACCTTTTTTCTGACAGTGTTTGAGAAAACCTAATAAACTGCCTCAATTCGGGCCAATTTTTTTACATTGTGATTCGGAAGGGATCTAAAGAGTGTCTTCCTGTGTCAACTCTCACATTGCCCAGATATTCCGCAAGAGGTGGCCGAATTACGGCCAGTTTTCACATGTACAATTGCGACTTGGCTGTGGTAAAGAGTGTGTCTTCCTGTGTCAATCTCACATTGACCAGTTTTTTTCTACAAGGAGGTGGCCAAATTACGGCCAATTTTTCACATTACAACTGCGACTCTGGGCTGCGTTCAGATCACTGTTGGTTCGAATCCACTTCTGACAGATGTTTTGAGTAACCTAATGATGTGCCTCAACTTCGGGCCTCTATTTTTTACATTGTGATTTCGACTCCCGGCCACAATGTGACGGAAGCTGCATTCGCCGGGGATCGGAACCGGCCACCCTCACTACAGAAGAGAACTCTACCACTAAGTGTCGATAAAGCAGATGCTGCATTGGCCGGGAATCGAACCCGCGGCTCCCGCGTGGCAGGCTAGAATTCTACCACTGAACCACCATGCTGTTTCTACAGGTGTTTTGGATCCGTCATGTCTCAACCTCATATTTAAAATTGTAGGACTGAAAGTATTTGCTCATGACGAGGGAGATGCTCAATTTGTTTGTGTTCCTCGTAGTATAGTGGGTCAGTATCCCCGCCTGTCACGCGGCGAGACCGGGGGTTCAATTCCCCGACGGGAGAAGAGGGATTTTGCTGACACTCCCCAACACAATCAATGGGCACATTACACTTGGACAACACGGCATCTGTGCAGAAGAAGCCACTGATGTTTTAATTCTAGCCAACGATCAACTCTGGTGAACTTGTAAATTCCATGTCAGATGGCCCGAGCGGTCTAAGGCGCTGCGTTCAGGTGCGCAGTCCTCCCTGGAGGCGTGGGTTCGAATCCCACTTCTGACAGTTTTTGAGTAAACCTAATGAAGCGCCTCAATTCGGGCCACTATTTTTACATTGTGATTCGAGAAGGGGATATAGAGAGTGAGTTGTCCTGTGTCAATCTCACGTTTAGACTTGTGCGACTCACATTGACCAGATATTCCGCAAGAGGTGGCCAAATTACGGCCAATTTTGCACATTAAAATTGCGACTTGGCTGCGGTTCCGGATCGCAGGTCTCCCTTGGAGGACTTGGTTCGAATCCCACTTGTGACAGAGGTTTTGAGTAAACCTAATGAAGTGCCTCAATTCGGGCCACTATTTTTACATTGTGATTCCAATTCCCCGCCACATTGTGACGGAAGCTGCATTGGCCGGCCTCCCTCGGTACAGAAGAGAATTCCTACCACTAAGTGTGCTAAAGTGTATGCTGCATTGGCCGGGAATCGAACCCGGGCCTCCCGCGTGGCAGGCGAGAATTCTACCACTGAACCACCAATGCCTGTTTCCTACAGGTGTTTTGGATCCCGTCATGTCTCAACCTCATATTTAAAATTGTAGGACTGAAAGTATTTGCTCATGACGAGAATGCTCAATTAGTTTGTGTTCCTCGTAGTATAGTGGTCAGTATCCCCGCCTGTCACGCGGGAGACCGGGGTCAATTCCCCGACGGGGAGAAGAGGGAGTTTGCTGACACTCCCCATACACAATCAATGGCACATTATACTTGGACAACGCGGCGTCTGGTGCAGAAGAAGCCACTGGATGTTTGTATTGGTTTTAATTCAAGCCAACGGTCCCAACTCTGGTAAAGGTGCAAATTCCTGTCAGGATGGCCGAGCGGGTCTAAGGCGCTGCGTTTAGGTCGCAGTCTCTCCCTGGAGGCGTGGGTTCGAATCCCACTTCTGACAGTGTTTAAGCAAACCTAATGAAGTGCCTCAATTCGGGCCAATTTTATTACATTGTGATTCGAAAGGGATCTAAAGAGTGTCTTCCTGTGTCAATCTCACATTGACCAGATATTCCGCAAGGAGGTGGCCGAATTACGGCCAGGTTTTCACATTACAATTGCGACTCTGGCTGTGGTAAAGAGTGTGTCTTCCTGTGTCAATCTCACATGACCAGTATTCCGCAAGAGGGGGGGGGGGGATGGCCAAATTACGGCCAATTTTCACATTAAAACTGCGACTCATTGGCTGCGTTCCGATCGCAGTTCTCCCTTGGAGGGACTTGGTTCGAATCCCACTTGTGACAGAGGTTTTGAGGTAAACCTAATGGAAGTGCCTCAATTCGGGCCAATTTTTTTACATTGTGATTTCGGAAGGGATCTAAATACGCGTTCCTGTGGTCAATCTCACATTGGTCCAGATATTCCGCAAGAGGTGGCCCGAATTATGGCCAGTTTTCACATTACATCTGCGACTTGGCTGCGTTAAAGAGTGTGTCTTCCTGTGGCAATCTCACATTGGACCAGATATTCCGCAAGAGGGTGGCCAAATTACACATTACAACTGCGACTTGGCTGCGTTCAGATTGCAGTCTCCATTGGTGGACTTTGGTTCGAATCCCACTTCTGACAGAGGTTTTGAGTAAACCTAAGAAGTGCCTCAATTCGGGCCACTATTTTACATTGTGATTCCAATTCCCCGGCCACATTGTGACGAAGCTGCATTGGCCGGCCTCCCTCGGTACTGGAGGATGTTCAATGCACTTGTGTTCCTCGTTAGTATAGTGGTCAGTATCCCCGCCTATCACGCGGGAGACCGGGGTTCAATTCCCCGACAGGGAGTAGAGGGTTTTTACTGACACTCCCAACACAATCAAATGGCACATTATACTTGGACAACACGGCATCTGTGCAGAAGAATCCCACTGATGTTTTAATTCAAGCCACGATCAACTCTGGTGAACGTGTAAATTCCATGTCAGGATGGCCGAGCGGTCTAAGGCGCTGCGTTCAGGTCGCAGTCTCCCCTGGAGGCGTGGGTTCTAATCCCACTTCTGACAGTTTTTGAGTAAACCTAATGAAAGCGCCTCAATACGGGCCACTATTTTTACATTGTGATTCGAAGGGGATATAGAGAGTGAGTTGTCCTGTGTCAATCTCACGTTTAGACTTGTGCGACTCACATTGACCAGATATTACGCAAGAGGGTGGTCGGAATTATGGCCAAGTTTTCACATTACAACCTCTTAATCGATCAAACAAACTGGGCTCAATTGGCCGGCCATCAGCGGTCTAAAGCGCTGCATTCAGGTAGCAGTCTCCCCTGGAGGCGTGGGTTCGAATCCCACTTCTGACAGTGTTTGAGCAAACCTAATAAACTGCCTCAATTCGGGCAATTTTTTTACGATTGTGATTCGGAAGGGATCTAAAGAGTGTCTTCCTGTGTCAATCTCACATTGCCCTATATTCCGCAAGAGGTGGCCGAATTACGGCCAGTTTTTCACATTACAATTGCGACTTGGCTGTGGTAAAGAGTGTGTCTTCCTGTGTCCAATCTCACATTGACCAGATATTCCGCAAGAGGTGGCCAAATTACGGCCAATTTTCACATTACAAACTCGCGACTTGGCTGCGTTCCGATCGCAGTCTCCCTTGGAGGACTTGGTTCGAATCCCACTTGTGACAGAGGTTTTGAGTAAACCTAATGAAGTGCCTCAATTCGGGCCAATTTTTTTACATTGTGATTCGGAAAGGGATCGAAATAGCGTCTTCCTGTGTCAATCTCACATTGACCAGATATTCCGCAAGAGGGTGGCCGAATTATGGCCATTTTCACATTACAACTGCGACTTGGCCTGCGTTAAAGAGTGTGTCTTCCTGTGGCAATCTCACATTGACCAGATATTCCGCAAGAGGTGGCCAAATTACACATTACAACTGCGACTTGGCTGCGTTCAGATTGCAGTCTCCATTGGAGGACTTGGTTCGAATCCCACTTCTGACAGAGGTTTTGAGTAAACCTAATGAAGTGCCTCAATTCGGGCCACTATTTTTACATTGTGATTCCAATTCCCGGCCACATTGTGACGGAAGCTGCATTGGCCGGCCTCCCTCGGTACTGGAATGTTCAATGCACTTGTGTTCCTCGTTAGTATAGTGGTCAGTATCCCCGCCTGTCCACGCGGGACACCGGGGTTCAATTCCCCGACGGGGAGGAGAGGGTTTTTACTGACACTCCCCCAACACAATCAATGGCTACATTATACTTGGACAACACGGCATCTGTGCAGAAGAATCCTCTGATGTTTTTAATTCAAGCCAACGATCAACTCTGGTGAACGTGTCAATTCATGTCAGGATGGCCGAGCGGTCTAAGGCGCTGCGTTCAGGTCGCAGTCTCCCCTGGAGGCGTGGGTTCTAATCCCACTTCTGACAGTTTTTTGAGTAACCTAATGAAGCGCCTCATTACGGGCCACTATTTTTACATTGTGATTCGAAGGGGGATATAGAGAGTGAGTTGTCCTGTGTCAATCTCACGTTTAGACTTGTGCGACTCACATTGACCAGATATTACGCAAGAGGTGGTTGAATTATGGCCAGTTTTCACATTACACCTCTTAATCGATCAAACAACTGGGCTCAATTGGCCGGCCATCAGCGGTCTAAAGCGCTGCATTCAGGTAGCAGTCTCCCCTGGGAGGCGTGGGTTCGAATCCCACTTCTGACAGTGTTTGAGAAAACCTAATATACTGCCTCAATTCGGGCCAATTTTTTTACATTGTGATTCGGAAGGGATCTAAAGAGTGTCTTCCTGTGTCAATCTCACATTGCCCAGATATTCCGCAAGAGGTGGGCCGAATTACGGCCAGTTTTCACATTACAATTGCGACTTGGCTGTGGTAAAGAGTGTGTCTTCCTGTGTCAATCTCACATTGACCAGTTTTTTTCTACAAGAGGTGGCCAAATTACGGCCAATTTTCACATTACAACTGCGACTTGGCTGCGTTCAGATCACAGTTGGTTCGAATCCCACCTTCTGACAGATGTTTTGAGTAAACCTAATGATGTGCCTCAATTCGGGGCCTCTATTTTTACATTGTGATTTCGACTCCCGGCCACAATGTGACGGAAGCTGCATTCGCCGGGGAATCGGAACCGCCACCCTCACTACAGAAGAGAACTCTACCACTAAGTGTGCTAAAGCAGATGCGGCAATTGGCCGGGAATCGGAACCCGGGCCTCCCGCGTGGCAGGCGAGAATTCTACCACTGAACCACCAATGCCTGTTTCTACAGGTGTTTTGGATCCCGTCATGTCTCAACCTCATATTTAAAATTGTAGGACTGAAAGTATTTGCTCATGACGAGGAATGCTCAATTTGTTTGTGTTCCTCGTTAGTATAGTGGTCAGTATCCCCGCCTGTCACGCGGGAGGACCCGGGGTTCCAATTCCCCGACGGGGAGAAGAGGGATTTTGCTGACCACTCCCCAACACAATCAATGGCACATTACACTTGGACAACACGGCATCTGTGCAGAAGAAGCCACTGATGTTTTAATTCAAGCCAACGATCAACTCTGGTGAACTTGTAAATTCCATGTCAGGATGCCGAGCGGTCTAAGGCGCTGCGTTCAGGTCGCAGTCTCCCCTGGAGGCGTGGGTTCGAATCCCACTTCTGACAGTTTTTGAGTAAACCTAATGAAGCGCCTCAATTCGGGCCACTATTTTTACATTGTGATTCGAAGGGGATATAGAGAGTGAGTTGTCCTGTGTCAATCTCACGTTTAGACTTGTGCGACTCACATTGACCAGATATTCCGCAAGAGGTGGCCAAATTACGGCCAATTTTCACATTAAAATTGCGACTTGGCTGCGTTCCGATCGCAGTCTCCCTTGGAGGACTTGGTTCGAATCCCACTTGTGACAGAGGTTTTGAGTAAACCTAATGAAGTGCCTCAATTCGGGCCACTATTTTTACATTGTGATTCCAATTCCCGGCCACATTGTGACGGAAGCTGCATTGGCCGGCCTCCCTCGGTACAGGAAGAGAATTCTACCACTAAGTGTGCTAAAGTGTATGCTGCATTGGCCGGGAATCGAACCCGGGCCTCCCGCGTGGCAGGCGAGAATTCTACCACTGAACCACCAATGCCTGTTTCTACAGGTGTTTTGGATCCCGTCATGTCTCAACCTCATATTTAAAATTGTAGGGACTGAAAGTATTTGCTCATGACGAGGAATGCTCAATTAGTTTGTGTTCCTCGTTAGTATAGTGGTCAGTATCCCCGCCTGTCACGCGGGGAGACCGGGGTTCAATTCCCCGACGGGGAGAAGAGGGAGTTTGCTGACACTCCCCAACACAATCAATGGCACATTATACTTGGACAACGCGGCGTCTGTGCAGAAGAAGCCACTGATGTTTTTTATTGGTTTTAATTCAAGCCAACGGTCAACACTGGTAAAGGTGCAAATTCCATGTCAGGATGGCCGAGCGGTCTAAGGCGCTGCGTTTAGGTCGCAGTCTCCCCTGGAGGCGTGGGTTCGAATCCCACTTCTGACAGTGTTTAAGCAAACCTAATGAAGTGCCTCAATTCCGGCCAATTTTATTACATTGTGATTCGAAAGGGATCTAAAGAGTGTCTTCCTGTGTCAATCTCACATTGACCAGATATTCCGCAAGAGGTGGCCGAATTACGGCCAGTTTTCACATTACAATTGCGACTTGGCTGTGGTAAAGAGTGTGTCTTCCTGTGTCAATCTCACATTGACCAGATATTCCGCAAGAGGTGGCCAAATTACGGCCAATTTTCACATTAAAACTGCGACTTGGCTGCGTTCCGATCGCAGTCTCCCTTGGAGGACTTGGTTCGAATCCCACTTGTGACAGAGGTTTTGAGTAAACCTAATGAAGTGCCTCAATTCGGGCCAATTTTTTTACATTGTGATTCGGAAGGGATCTAAATAGCGTCTTCCTGTGTCAATCTCACATTGACCAGATATTCCGCAAGAGGTGCCGAATTATGGCCAGTTTTCACATTACAACTGCGACTTGGCTGCGTTAAAGAGTGTGTCTTCCTGTGGCAATCTCACATTGACCAGATATTCCGCAAGAGGTGGCCAAATTACACATTACAACTGCGACTTGGCTGCGTTTCAGATTGCAGTCCTCCATTGGAGGACTTGGTTCGAATCCCACTTCTGACAGAGGTTTTGAGTAAACCTAATGAAGTGCCCTCAATTCGGGCCACTATTTTTACATTGTGATTCCAATTCCCGGCCACATTGTGACGGAAGCTGCATTGGCCGGCCTCCCTCGGTACTGGAATGTTCAATGCACTTGTGTTCCTCGTTAGTATAGTGGTCAGTATCCCCGCCTATCACGCGGGAGACCGGGGTTCAATTCCCCGACAGGGAGTAGAGGGTTTTACTGACACTCCCCAACACAATCAATGGCACATTATACTTGGACAACACGGCATCTGTGCAGAAGAATCCACTGATGTTTTAATTCAAGCCAACGATCAACTCTGGTGAACGTGTAAATTCCATGTCAGGATGGCCGAGCGGTCTAAGGCGCTGCCGTTCAGGTCGCAGTCTCCCCTGGAGGCGTGGGTTCTAATCCCACTTCTGACAGTTTTTGAGTAAACCTAATGAAGCGCCTCAATACGGGCCACTATTTTTACATTGTGATTCGAAGGGGATATAGAGAGTGAGTTGTCCTGTGTCAATCTCACGTTTAGACTTGTGCGACTCACATTGACCAGATATTACGCAAGAGGTGGTCGAATTATGGCCAGTTTTCACATTACACCTCTTAATCGATCAAACAACTGGGCTCAATTGGCCGGCCATCAGCGGTCTAAAGCGCTGCATTCAGGTAGCAGTCTCCCCTGGAGGCGTGGGTTCGAATCCCACTTCTGACAGTGTTTGAGCAAACCTAATAAACTGCCTCAATTCGGGCAATTTTTTTACATTGTGATTCGGAAGGGATCTAAAGAGTGTCTTCCTGTGTCAATCTCACATTGCCCAGATATTCCGCAAGAGGGTGGCCGAATTACGGCCAGTTTTCACATTACAATTGCGACTTGGCTGTGGTAAAGAGTGTGTCTTCCTGTGTCAATCTCACATTGACCAGATATTCCGCAAGAGGTGGCCAAATTACGGCCAATTTTCACATTACAACTGCGACTTGGCTGCGTTCCGATCGCAGTCTCCCTTGGAGGACTTGGTTCGAATCCCACTTGTGACAGAGGTTTTGAGTAAACCTAATGAAGTGCCTCAATTCGGGCCAATTTTTTTACATTGTGATTCGGAAGGGATCTAAATAGCGTCTTCCTGTGTCAATCTCACATTGACCAGATATTCCGCAAGAGGTGGCCGAATTATGGCCAGTTTTCACATTACAACTGCGACTTGGCTGCGTTAAAGAGTGTGTCTTCCTGTGGCAATCTCACATTGACCAGATATTCCGCAAGAGGTGGCCAAATTACACATTACAACTGCGACTTGGCTGCGTTCAGATTGCAGTCTCCATTGGAGGACTTGGTTCGAATCCCACTTCTGACAGAGGTTTTGAGTAAACCTAATGAAGTGCCTCAATTCGGGCCACTATTTTTACATTGTGATTCCAATTCCCGGCCACATTGTGACGGAAGCTGCATTGGCCGGCCTCCCTCGGTACTGGAATGTTCAATGCACTTGTGTTCCTCGTTAGTATAGTGGTCAGTATCCCCGCCTGTCACGCGGGAGACCGGGGTTCAATTCCCCGACGGGGAGTAGAGGGTTTTTACTGACACTCCCCAACACAATCAATGGCACATTATACTTGGACAACACGGCATCTGTGCAGAAGAATCCACTGATGTTTTAATTCAAGCCAACGATCAACTCTGGTGAACGTGTCAATTCCATGTCAGGATGGCCGAGCGGTCTAAGGCGCTGCGTTCAGGTCGCAGTCTCCCCTGGAGGCGTGGGTTCTAATCCCACTTCTGACAGTTTTTGAGTAAACCTAATGAAGCGCCTCAATACGGGCCACTATTTTTACATTGTGATTCGAAGGGGATATAGAGAGTGAGTTGTCCTGTGTCAATCTCACGTTTAGACTTGTGCGACTCACATTGACCAGATATTACGCAAGAGGTGGTTGAATTATGGCCAGTTTTCACATTACACCTCTTAATCGATCAAACAACTGGGCTCAATTGGCCGGCCATCAGCGGTCTAAAGCGCTGCATTCAGGTAGCAGTCTCCCCTGGAGGCGTGGGTTCGAATCCCACTTCTGACAGTGTTTGAGAAAACCTAATAAACTGCCTCAATTCGGGCCAATTTTTTTACATTGTGATTCGGAAGGGATCTAAAGAGTGTCTTCCTGTGTCAATCTCACATTGCCCAGATATTCCGCAAGAGGTGGCCGAATTACGGCCAGTTTTCACATTACAATTGCGACTTGGCTGTGGTAAAGAGTGTGTCTTCCTGTGTCAATCTCACATTGACCAGTTTTTTTCTACAAGAGGTGGCCAAATTACGGCCAATTTTCACATTACAACTGCGACTTGGCTGCGTTCAGATCACAGTTGGTTCGAATCCCACTTCTGACAGATGTTTTGAGTAAACCTAATGATGTGCCTCAATTCGGGCCTCTATTTTTACATTGTGATTTCGACTCCCGGCCACAATGTGACGGAAGCTGCATTCGCCGGGGGAATCGGAACCGGCCACCCTCACTACAGAAGAGAACTCTACCACTAAGTGTGCTAAAGCAGATGCTGCATTGGCCGGGAATCGAACCCGGGCCTCCCGCGTGGCAGGCGAGAATTCTACCACTGAACCACCAATGCCTGTTTCTACAGGTGTTTTGGATCCCGTCATGTCTCAACCTCATATTTAAAATTGTAGGACTGAAAGTATTTGCTCATGACGAGGAATGCTCAATTTGTTTGTGTTCCTCGTTAGTATAGTGGTCAGTATCCCCGCCTGTCACGCGGGAGACCGGGGTTCAATTCCCCGACGGGGAGAAGAGGGATTTTGCTGACACTCCCCAACACAATCAATGGCACATTACACTTGGACAACACGGCATCTGTGCAGAAGAAGCCACTGATGTTTTAATTCAAGCCAACGATCAACTCTGGTGAACTTGTAAATTCCATGTCAGGATGGGCCGAGCGGTCTAAGGCGCTGCGTTCAGGTCGCAGTCTCCCCTGGAGGCGTGGGTTCGAATCCCACTTCTGACAGTTTTTGAGGTAAACCTAATGAAGCGCCTCAATTCGGGCCACTATTTTTA